AAGGGAAACATTGGATATATATATATATATATATATATATATATATATATATATTGCTTGATATCCCGGTTAAAGTTCATCCCCCTTCGTGTTCTCTATTGATCGGCATAGTGTACAAAGCAGAGTGTATGCATCCCGTCTGGTTGAAAATGCCTTTCTAGCGAAAACAGTTTATGAAAAATGCATTAAATTTTCTCGGTCGTCCATATGTGACAAAGATTGCGAAAAAGGGGGAAAGGGGAAGGAGGTCCTTGCTCCTCTGGCGTTGCACTTTCATCCTTAGTAGCGCATAAAGAGCTACACTTGATACTGGCATCTTCCTTAGTAGCGGGGGCGTAAGACAATGGTGACTATATCTAAGCAAAGCTAGAACTTTTCCATAGCACCTACGGTGTGGGGAAGTTTCCCGAGATTCGCTGCGGTGTATATCCACTGCTTACTCGTCAGGGGAACAGGCTGTGACAGAATTCGCGAAAAGTAGACAGAAATAAATACCTATACCTATTAGGTGCTGCATCTGAAAGTATCACTCATTGGCGAACGGAAGTCTGACGGTGGACAGAGAGCTTCTGTATCAATGGCCCACTGCAGGGCTGTCTGTCCCCCTGTTCCCCTGAATACGGGAAAAGCTTAGCTGGCTAACCCGGGGAGAGGAAACTAAGGGTTGAAAGGTGCAATACTCCGAGGTGATGGGGTATTTACTCATGAAAGAGAGAAAGGCAGCAACTTCTACCGCTGTGGAGGATGAAAGACGCTTCGAAAAATCTGGGGATATTGGGCTGTAAATGGCATCCCCGCCCCGAAAAATATGAACAGCACCAGCAAACGGCAAATGGCGAACTCGGCATTCAGAAAACCAGCGTGTTGCACCCCGCAGCGCATCTCCTTCGTCTGCAACGAGCAGACCCGCGGACTTCGGCACTGCGCGCTAACTAAATGAGGTGAGAAACAGGAGAGGTAGGGCTTGGAGCAGCCCCTTTAGCGGATTTGATAAGGCGGCGGCGAAGTGATGACGCCAAAAGAGGTGACCTCGTCACCTTCAGTTCCTTCTCGGTGCACTTCTGTGCCTCTCCAAGCTGATATCAGCGGTCACTAGCTCTTAAATTTCCACAAAATTTCCCGCAAACAAGAAGTAGCGGTGGCATTGTGAGAAGGAGCAGCTGGAGGCGACTGAGGCCTGAATGCACGTGCAACGACAAGCGGAGATCAAACGAGAATATTACGTCAAGTGACGAGGATACCGACAACGCAAGCGCGTTTGTGGGGTCTTCTGATTCTACGAAGTTTCTCAGGAACGTATGTACCGCTCCGTGAGTCTCAGAGGGTGTTTACGGCGCAGCCTCAATGCGGGCAAATTATATCGTTTTGTTGGCAACCGTTCCATCACGGGGGAACGGAAGTGTGTCTCCTTGCATCTGCGTGATCTTTGGAGCTACTAATTGTCCTCTTGCAACCAATACAACCTTCTGAGCTCGGTACACATATTTCTACTATCGCGAAGGGTGTTTACGTATGGTCAACTAGATGTTTAACAATTGTATATAGTGTGGGTAGAAACACATCGGAGTATGCGTTCTCATACAGTGGTGCCTAGTAGCACTAGCAACACAAAGGTGCATCCG